AAATGCCTTACTAAAACTACAAACAACAATATTTAGGATATTCTTCCAATATTTTATACATCATAACCTGAGAAATTTTTGTGCCGTTCCTTTTAAAAAAACTAACTTACCGTAATACATACATTAAATGAAATGAACAGATGCGCAGTTACTGAATGAAGCCCATGTACCTTACATATAAATGTTTATTCAAGCTTTAGACTTTCAAATAAACCCCAAGTAATCCCCTAAACTAGATGTAATGACAACTGGCCAAACTAATAAATATGGTCTGTAGGGTTTAATGTCGAAAATTTTCAGATATTGCTGTCGTTTGAAACAATTGATTGTTATCGTTAGTTAAAACAAATGCAGAATATATCATCCACTAAATAACCTGTGGAATTAAACTATCAGTTCTCCAGCTTTATTTGCTGTAATCTTTGTTAACTTTCTTTATAGACTTTATAGTATAAAGTTGTTGATGTGCAGTTTATATACAACTCTGGACAGAAATCGAACAAACTGAAAAATCGTCAAGTTTAAAATAAATCTGTTGATTGTTGTCTTCCTACATAATATATTTCTAAACTGTATTGTGTGCAATCTATTCCACTATATTGCAGTGCTGTAGTCCTGGTGATTTAACCCTTATGTGCTGTTGGGGATGTTTTTATGCACTCTGGGGTGATTTTGTGTCTTAATTTGGCTATAACTTTCTCAGTGTTTCAGCAAGCAGAATGATTTTTGTGACAAATCTTATTTTGACACATTTTGGCTGTTTGACACATACTTTAACTTAAAAAAAAAAAAACTCGGCAATACACTTATGTTAGGGATAAAACATCCACTAAATTACAACTGCTGTAAAAATGCATAAGATCAATATTTTATTTTTTTAAATATTAAACTGATGCATTTTTACAGCAATTTAATTTAGTGGATGTTCTCTGCGAATGGACCGTCAAAATAGAGCCCATACTGTTTGCTATGGACTGCAGCAACTATGAAGCTCAATATCTCACAATCATTCAGAACGCAGATTGAACCTTATAATTCCAAGGTGACAATTTACTGTACGAGTTTGGCAATTAAAGAGTTAAAGTCCTGTAAATTTTCTAAACAATTTAGTAGTTTTGCTCAGGACTGAGTTTGATTAAGACTTATGCAAAAAAAATAATAATCTGATGCATTTTCACAGCAGTTTAATTCAGTAGATGCTTTCATCCTGAGCATAACAAAAGGGTAGTAAATTCGAACAGTGCACAATGGTTAATGTTCAAATTCAGGTTAATGTTAATTTATCTAAGAGGTCACAGCATCAATAAAGTGCCCATCTGTTTATTTTTACTTTTTTTATTTTATTTGTTTTTTTTATTTTATTTTTATTTTATTTATCAATGCTTGATAAATATTATGTTTACGTTTAAGTTTTTAAGTCTTCGTTAAAGGGTTATAAGACAACAACTAAAGCAAGCAAGTGACACTGGCTGATGTGTTTTCTGTATTTTTTTTGCCCCTTACCTCTTGTATTTTTCTTTATTTTTGGTACCTTTTCTTTTTTTGCCACAAGTGCCTGTTATTTTCAGTTTACCAGATTGACAAAACCAGGCAGACACTAACCCGCAGGGCTATTCTAAAGCAGAATTGTCACACTTTTAGTGCAGGAAGTCTCAGCTGGTCTGAGGGTCCGGATGATTGGTGTGCAATATAAAGACCAGCACATCTAATTCCTCAGGTTATTTGGTGCGAGAAGCGAAAGAGAAACAGCTGGGTGTTTCTGACAACCACTGACTTTTTGAACTGCTGAGATTTAGAATTTGGCCTGACAAATCATGCATGCCGAGACATCCAGTAGTATGTAATGATCTGACTTGGATCCTGCCTTAGAAAACAGCTCTGAGCTGCTGGGAAGAAATGGGAGAGATTTAAAAAGGCAGAAAGCTGACAATGCTGTTAGTGATCCACATGCGTCTCCATAATGGCTTGTCTCACTGAGGTTTATGCATTGACAAACCATTAACAGATGCAAATATACAAAAGTAATTACTTTTTAAGCAAAGAGAGCAAATTGTGAGTCCCCATATGGTCTGTCTGTGTATTCAAGATTGGTGATGTGACTCACATCTGTAATTGGGCTACCAAGGAACTATTGATTGCGAATAAATGTACTATAAGTGTGCTTTAAACATAACACATTACCCTCTAGTATTGGCACCTTTGATAAATATGAGCAAAAAAAGATGGGGAAAATGTGACCCTGGACTATGAAACTAGTAATAAATGTCTTTTTAAAATTATGATCTATACAAGTTTTCCATTGATACTTTGCTGTTATACTATTTGAAAATCTGGGGGTTCAAAAAAAGATTTAAATAATGAGTTAATTCAAATTAAATTGTGTCATCCTATAATTAAAGTACACTGAAAAAAAAAAACAATTTAAAGATGATTCCTTTAAAAATATATTTACTATATATTTGTAAAGTAAATAATTTCTTTAAGCTGAATTTAAACTAAATTAATAAATTAATAAACTAAAAGTAAATTAAGTTAAACATTACTAAATTAAATTTGTTTAAATTCAACACATATATTGTTTGCAACAATTTTGCAGACATCTTTTTTTTTCAGTGTAGGAAATATATCCAATACTATATTTGATATACCATATACCATACTATATTTGAGGACCATGATATTTGCTTAATATGCAAATGATTTGGGCATAAAAGCAAGGCAATAATTTGACCATATAATTTATTTCTGGCTTTAAAAAAACAATCTAAGTTTTGTTGTCCAAGTTTAAGATTACAAATGTATTGTTTAACCTTTAGATCTATGACTCCATAGGGTGCATTTTAATTTTTTTAACCAACCACTGGAACATAAATCCTACATTTTTTAGTTCAAAAAGAGTAAGCATATTACACACACACACACACACACACACACACACACACACACACACACACACACACACACACACACACACACAAAATATATATTTTACTACTGTTTAAGCTAAAACGAAAATTCTTGAGATTTTTTGTTCAGTCCACTTAAATTTATGTTAACTAAATCGATTTGTGCTGGGACAACATGAATGAACTGTGTGGAACACTGCATTTTATACAGTGTATTGTGATAAAAAAAAAAATACATGGACAACATTGACAGCATGATTCTAATATACTGAACAATGATTACTAAATGATGAACAAGTAATTTCACTCTTAAAGGGCATCTATTTTAGCCCCTTTTCAAGATTTAAGATAAGTCTATTTTGTTTCTCCAGAATGTGTCTGTAAAGTTTCAGCTCAAAACCCCGGTCAGATTATTTATTATACCTTTCAGAAAATTGGAATTTTCTGCTCTGAACACAATGTAGCTGTTTTTGTTGCCTGTGCCGTTAATGCTACAGCAGTTCTACTCGCTCACCGTTTCCACATGCCTTTCAGAGTGTGCCTCAATCTCCGGCTCGGCTGCGTCAGATAAACAGCACAGTGACAGACATGAAGGGAGCAGAACTCATGTAATATTTGTGAAAAATACTACAGTAAGAACAGTGCGCGCATTTAACTTTGTACTGTTTTTGCATGGCAAATGTGACAGGATACATGTTTATATCCACTGCTGTATGGATATTCGTTATTTTAATGTACTGAAGCATCTTCTTTTATTACTGTTCTGGCTCGTGGTTGTGGTGATAAGTAAAGCTAAAGTAAATCATTGTTATTTATTACGAACATGCACTACTTTAAAGATGTTTTAAACTTGTAATACTCATTCTTGATCACATTTGATGATGATTGATGATCACAGAGAGCTGAACAGATATTTTAATCTCAGTTGCTTTGCGCACGTCCTGTCTTGTTGATATGATTATACGCGTTACTATGGAGGCATGTTAATACACGACTGTTAATCAAATCGGTGGGTGGGGCGTAGCCGTTGGCCTAAATAAGGCAATTTAGATTCTATTTTAACATCAGGTGATTTAAAAAAAGAGACTTATTGTCTTTATATCATCTCAATATGATTATGGACACACAATACCTACACACAGTTCTGTCCAAATCTATGATTTTCATCATAGATGCTCTTCAAGTCAAGTTAGTTAATAACTAATATTATAACACACATTTTTGAAATACTCAATTCTGATTGGTCAGTCACGGCATTCAAAATATGTTATTCCGAGATGATAACATTCCACTGAATAACACAGCCTCATTCGGAAACTTCAAATCAATTTGACTGTCAGTGAATATATTCACATCTATATAAAGTACATAAATCCACATTCACGTGTATCTGCTTGCCTAACATGCTGCATAATACGTAAATGCATAATACGTAATGAATAAGGTTAAATACTTGATTCAGCTGGATTCATATCTGTCAGCTTTGCATTTTTTGCAAATTACACCTTTTTTCTTTGTTTTTAAATAGTTCATCTTGTTGAGTCTTAAATTTTACATTATAATGAATAATCAAAGCGTGTTCAAATGTATTTATAATTGTATCCCAACCCATAGAAGAATCGAATGAGAACTGATATAAGAACTAATGACGTCTGTTGGAGCTCATACTGAAATCTCTGCCTTTTTGATTGACTACAATAAGAGATTGCTTATGAAGCTCAACAGGATACATATTGTAAAAATCTCATTTGCTTTCCATTCAGTGCAATTAAAAAACAGGTTCAATCTATGATTTATCTTACCATAGACTGTACAGTGTCATTCATTCCTAATGTTTCAAACAATTGCCCACATAATTACCTTGATTTGATCAGAAATCAATTTATTTACACAGTGTGATTGATGGAGGGTGAAATTAATACCTTCTTTTTCAATTGCATGTGAATATTAGCAGCACAAAATCTAATTAACTTACTTATCTGCCCCCATTTAAAAACGTGCACAGCAGAGCAGGGAATATTATTGACAGTGGATCAAATGAACATGTATAATGTAAGTAAATGTTTATGCTTTGTGTGTGAACGTGTTACTCACCTCATAGTGGGCGACTCTCTGTGACTCAGAGATAAGCTGAGCGCTGCACACTTTGCAGTAGCTGTCAGTGAATAACCCTGGATCCACTTCTGTAGACTTCATCTTCACAAGAATAACAGAGTATTTTTAATCAGAATTTGAACAAGGACTCATTTGTACGCATTTAACATGAGTGTTTTCATACATTTGTTAGGAATACTTCACCTAGATGAGATCTTGAGACCAAATAAAAAGCAATATGATGTTTATATATTGTATGGAACGTCTATAAATAAAAAAAGTCTATCGTTTCATATTTTGCTGTATCGTTTAATTATGGTGTCACAAATAACATAGTTTATGATAATAATTGTTAATCATACGGATGAGTGTAATCTTACATGAACAACGTGAATAACAGCATAGAGAAAAAGTTGCAATCTTGAAAGTTAAGTACTTATGAAAATAAGTACTGAATACATCATGTTTTTCCTTGTGAATAATATTTATAAAGGATCTGTTGACATGGCATTGAACCAGATTTTGGTAAAAACCCAAACAATACAAACGAAAATAAAACAAAACCAAAAAATTTTGGAAAAATAGTAATGTGTAATGACAATGGAATGACACAAGGGGAAAGTACTGAACTACTGAAACGTATTTAATACTTTATATAAAAGTCTTTAAAAGTTTTTTGAGAAAAAATGTGACAGGTTCATTGCTTATTTTGCCAGTGAACATTATTTTACATTTATTTTACATTTAGCAGTTTATTATATATATATATATATATATATATTTTTTTTTTTTTTTTTTTTTTTTAATTGGGGCTGTAATCATTAGGTTTTGAAAAATGTTTTACTTGTCATTAATATTTCTTTCATTTTTTGACATTCATAAGCAAATACTTTAAAATGTAAAAAAGAAATGATGTTTTCAATGCAGTAATTCTTTTATAATTTTATTTATTACTATTAATTTGTTTTTTATTATTATTATTAAAGTGATGCTTAATGGAGCAAGGAAATTTTCACAGTAGTTCTGACAATATTTTTCTTCAGATTAAAGTCTTATTTGTTATAGTTTGGCTGGAATATAAGCAGCTTTTAATGTTTTTATTAAACAATTTTTCAATAATAATTTGTCCCCTTTAGTATTATCAGCCCCCATTGGCTACAAAACTAATCAATGTTGACTTCCCTAATTAACCTAACTTAAAGTTGATTACTAGCATCTTGCAAAATAACTAGTGCTTTTATCATAGACAAATTAATTATTACTTATTAAAACTATTATTTAAAAATGTGTTGAAGAATTTGTATTTTATTTATTTTTTTTACTTTTGACTTTAACTGTACACTGTGAAAAAATTTGATGTCAGTACAACAACAACAACAAAAAAACAACAACAACAAAAAAACAATCCTTATTTCAATTTCGCTTTTTCACATGCCTTACTAATTTTTTTCAATTAGAAAGTATGTAAAAATAAAAACAATGTTTGTTTGTTCTGATAATGCATTTTTTCTTAGTATTAATTTCCACAAAAGTTTTTTCGTTCACTCAACATTTTAGGTCAGGGCAACTGATGTTTTCAAAAGTTAAGTCAACGCCAATGGTGTAGTGATTATTGCGTTGACACAAGTCACTCCGCTGTTCATGGTGACCTGAGATCAATTCCTGCCTCGAGGTCCTATGCTGATCCTTATCCTCTCTCATCTCCCCATGCTTTCCTGTCTTTCTACAGTCATATCAATTTAAGGTAAAAAAAAAAAAGTGAGTATATGAGGAAAAAAAAGGAAATATAGATTATGTTTTTTTTTTGGGGGGGGGGGGGGGGGGTCACTCAGCGTCAGGCATTCCAGTACTGCAGATAAAAAATGTTCAATTGACACAACGTAAAAAGTTTTGTTAAAGAGTAGTTCACCTCTCCAGAAAACGAATAATCTTATGTTAACCCAACTAAATGTTTTTTGTTTTACTGACAAATAATTTTAGGTCAGTGCAGCTGATGTTTTCAAAAGTTGAGTGAACAAGAAAAAGCAAATAAGGATTATGATTTTTTGTTGTTGTTGTTGTTGTTGTACTGACTTAATTTTTTACAGTGTATATATATATAAACTACTAATTTACAATATTTACAGAAAATGAACTCTATAGTGCTAAATATCATTATAAGGATATGAGATGACTTATATAGTAATTTCAGATTTCCATCATATTGCCCAGCCCTCCAAATAACTAGACTCAAAATAAACATTTTGTAACACACGATAAACTCAGCTAGATGACTAATCAAATAATATTCAGTGCATGTGTGCAATCATAACTTTGCCAACATCAATCACGTAAGATTTCATCGATGTGACATTTTGGGTTTATCGTACAGTGACATTCTTTGTGCACACCGATGAAATCTGTGACATTTGGATTTGGCAAAAAGAGAGGGAGGTTGGAGAGGAAGGGGGGAATAATGAGAGATAAATCTGGCACCACTTCGTGTCAAAAAAGGCACCAGCTACTATGCCGGAGGAGAAAGCAGAGGAATAGTGTGTGTTTTGGGACCGACTGACGCCAACCTCACACTGACCTTTAATAATGTAGACATTGCAAAATCATTGCAGGTCATAAGGAGAGTTTTTCTAATGACAGAAGGAGGTGAGGTCATGCATTTGGGCCATAATCTAATTTAGAAGACTCCTGTCACCTGACGGGGGGGTTTAAAGGGACAGTTCAGACAAAAAAAAATCAACCATCTGGAGTCGTCATTGGGGGGTCACACTTGCATTGGATATTTTATTTTTATATGAAACTATATTTAATTTCAATGATTTGCTTTAATATTCTTGTATTTTGAAGGAATTTTATCTTAATTAACATTAATTTTACGATTAAAATGGTATAATAACAGAATATGATGATGGATTAATCAAATTAATTGTATAATAATGTTGGTTGAGAAATTTACTCATGAAAGAAAATTTAATCTAAGTACTGAATTAAATCTAGAAAGAAAATGTAATTATTAATCAGTGAGACGCTGCATACACAGCTTTAGGTAATGATGACTGAACTTTTATTTTGTTCATTCAAATTTGTTCAAATGACTTGATTCATTCAGCAATGGGTTATATGCACATGGACTTTTAATTTCAATCAGCATTCCCTGGGGCTTCTGTTTAAATGTCATCCCAAACAAAATTACAACGTTTAAGATCTGATTTCTTTAAAATACAGTGACCTTAACTGCCTGGATAAGATACAATATAAAGTGGGTATTAGACCAAACAAGAAGCACTGCATTAAATTATATTTATCCATGCCCTTTCTTTAAAATATAGAAATAAATTTTACTCCAGTATTTTCAATGGAGTTTCTGTGATAGCCTGCTTGTAATGACGGCACATGCATTTCAACGTTCTTTCTTATCTTTTTACGCTTTAGCAAACATATGGATGTTTAAGTCTATTAACTGATTTTATCTGAATTACATTACAATATCGATGCTGTAAAATTGTAAATAGCCACATTATCCATTCACTGGAAGTTCGTCATTGGCTGAAAGACACTGGCTCTGCATATGGCCCATTATAAACAGCACTGTATGTGAATATCCAACTACTTTGCTTCATTCAGGAATGAAGAGGCTTCCTTTATAAATAACCCACTGAATTGTTGGTTCAATTGATTTTAAAATGCAGATTTAATTTTTTTGACACAAACATAAGACAAACTCGTTCAGTGCACATTTGCCTTAGTATATTTAATTTTAGAAGCATACATAGAAAATAAATCCTGTAACTAATATAAATATTGTTTATAGATAAAGTGTCTAAAATGACATACTGTAGTTGAAAAAAACATTTCTGTTATCATTTACTTTTCATTCATTCATTTTCTTGTTGGCTTAGTCCCTTTATTAATCAGGTGTCGCCACAGCGGAATGAACCGCCAACTAATCCAGCAAGTTTTTACACAGTGGATCCCCTTCCAGCCGCAACCCATCTCTGGGAAACATCCACACACACATTCACACACACACTCATACACTACGGACAATTTAACCTACCCAATCCACCTATACCCCATGTCTTTGGACTGTGGGGGAAACCGGAGCACCCGGAGGAAACCCACGCAAAAGCAGGGAGAACATGCAAACTCCACACAGAAACACCAATTGAGCCGAGGTTCGAACCAGCGACCCAGCGACCTTCTTGCTGTGAGGCGACAGCACTACCTACTGTGCCACAGCCTCGCCTATCATTTACTTAATATGTATTCATTTTCATTATTATACTCAATAAAAAAAGAAGACATTTTGTTTCTTCTGGTTTTGCATCATGTAATGCAGTGGAAACCCAGATGAAGATTAACACTGGACCTTTTTTATTTTCAACACATTCTTCTGAATATCTTCCTTTGTGTTGAGCAGAAGACGTAAGTCAGGTATGAAGGGTAGTTAAGCGATAGTTTTTTTTTTTTTTTTTAACTATAACGATAATATAAGTAACATTTTCAAGAGTTTACATTTAGCTGATGATTGATTATAAAGCTTGTTAGGCAAGCTGTCCTGGGAGAGAGCCCTGAGTTCATAACTTCTCATGAGCTACTCAAAACTGTTTAAGACATTTTAAATTGACACTTTTACTTACAAAAATGCACTGATTTGACACCATCAAGCAGTATGGTTTGGTACACTGCAGCTCTTCTGTATCTCAGAGCCACATGAGGCACTTTTTGGACTGTTGAAAAACAAAACAACCAGCTGTTGCTATTGTAGAGCTGAAAAGGCCATATAAAAAATGTGAAATAACTTTGACAGGATCTTCAATAAGGAGTGTCATATAATGCCTTGAAGAAGAGTAAATCAAGGGTGAGTTTTATTTTTTGAATGAATTAACCCTTAAAGCAGTCTACAAAATGTGCGTTTTTGGGCTTGTTTTCTTTTAAAATTCTATTTTCTCGGCTTTGATGTCACTTGAGTCATTCACAAGCATTTAGAGATTATCATGGGAGATATTACGGTTTTCTAGATTTGACTTTAGAGAACTAAATCTTAGAAAACAACTGCTTAGAGCTCATCTGTGATTCAAGGGCATTGCCTACTGAAATTTAAATAATGATAAAAAAGTTGGTATGAACATAAAATTGATCCTTTTCCTCACACCCAAGAGGTAACTTTAAACCATCTCTGCATCCCTTAACAATTCCAGACAAGTTATCTTCAGGCAGAAAAGATGTTTCCATACGTCTGTGACCCTCTGATGCCCCCCAAAAACTAAATAACACCCTGCAGCATCACACAGTCCATGACTTTACACTCAATAATCCAAAATCGTTACTTCCAAGCAAACAAATACATACTCACTTGTGCTTTGAACTTTTTGTAATAACCATCAGATTTCTCAAAAGTAAATATGAATGAGTAGAAATTGAATTCTGGGATGAAATGAGCTAACTAAAGCCCTTGTAAATGATAATCAAGGGTCAAATGGAGTTTAGAATAGCTCATTTAAAACACGCAGGATTAGAGCAGCTTGGAAAATCATTACACCGCCATTGATCAGACAGTTTCAATTAAGGTATTTCAGATCTTAATTGAAATTTTGAACGACCAGCTCAATACGTATGATATCCATCAGACGTCACTCAGACAATATCCAATATAACATGAGAGATCTCTTAAAACTACCCTGAAATAGCTCTAATCCCACATTTAAAACGGATGAAAAGGAGCTTAGCATTTGGTTTTTTAGAAGGAAAGAATTGGCCAGGAATAGTTTTCTGAAGAGATGGATCTTATCACAGTCTCTCCTGTCAAAGATAATCACATCAATAAAAGCTCCAGCTAACAAAGGCCTGAGCAGATGAGCATAACGCTCTTCTTTCATCTGTGGAAAAGTGATTTCTTGCCTCACGTAAGCTCGAGACCACATATTGATTCCCTAAGTTAGAAGAAAATGCAATTTCCATTACTTCAATGAACATTACAATGAAGAGATGAGAAAAATATATAAGTGGGAGAGGAAGGAGTGCAGGTGCTTTCTTTTTACTCAAAGAAAGACCACCGTTTCTGAGACGAAGAGAAAACTGCTCTGTTTGTGTGTCTACAGATAAACCAGCAATATGATGGTACATTGACTGGATGTACTTGTTTGCAACAGACTATTCTGGTATCAATACAAACTATTATTACCCCTTTAACAGGGGTGTAGAAACCAGGGGGGACGGGGAGTGGGGGACGGAGATGCATCCTCCTCACTTTTAAAGACAGACCATTTAGAAACAGGTGATTAATAATTATATGAATGTTAACTTTTGCATCTCATACAGATCTCCCCCCAACTTTTAAAATGTCCGCTATGCCCCATCTCTTCAATGAATAAACAGTCATGTGAGAAAAGTTGATATGCGTGTGTCTGTATTATTCAGAAATTTTGTCACAATATCTGTATTATATATAACCTATATCCAAAATATTTGTTGAATATTTGTTAAAAAATGCATTTGTACAGATAAAGATAGTCAATTAATTCTCATTTAGTGTTTAAAGTTCATCAAAAGTGTTCGTTTTATAGAATGCACAGCTATAAACAATATGATTAACAGGATTTAGTATAGCACTAAGAAAATGTAACAGTCTTTTATGTAGTAAAAATGAACTCAACAGATCATGAGCAACTTCATGCATTATGACGAATGAGAAATGCGTAAAAGTATAAAACGCTCACTTGTATTTGCTGACTGTATCGCTGGTACAGGTGTTCAGGACCGTCCGTCAGATGATATGGATGATCGTACAGTCTTGAGTGTGTGAAGTGATGCTGCGCGTGCTGTCTGTGTCAGTGTGTGTATGTGTCCTTAGTGCGCTCCATGTTCATGGCTGCTCTCCGCCCCGCGCGCGCTCATTGGCTGTTGCCGCCACACACTGGCAACGTGCAAATCAAGAAATAATTAATATAATTAAATAGGGTGAACGCGAGTAATGTAAAACGCATTACGAATTGCAGTTTGTTAGTTTTACTTTTGTTAAATAGCGAATTAGAGCTATAAGTATTTCAATAAAAATACAATATATGCAATATAAATTATTTAAAAGTTTATTTGTAAAATTGAAAAAAAATTGCATATAAAATAATGCTGGACATATAGGAGTCGGATATATTTATAATATTTAACATAAGAGTCATAATTGGAAAATGTGCATATATATTTAAAAAGAAAATCAAAACATGAGCATTACAATTACAAATATATGCTAGCTCTACATCTGTTCAAAAATATACTAACAAATATGTAATATAATATAATATAATATAATATAATATAATATAATATAATATAATATAATATAATATAATATAATATAATATAATATACCCAGGGCCGACACAGTGGCTCAGTGGGTAGCACGATCACCTCACAGCAAGAAGGTTGCAGGTTCTAGCCTCGGCTGGGTCAGTTTGGCATTTCTGTGTGGAGTTTGCATGTTCTCCTTGTGTTTGTGTGGGTTTCCTCCAGGTGCTATGGTTTCTAAAGACATGTATATGAATTTGGTAAGCTAAATTGTCTGTAGTGTAAAAGAGTGTATGGGAGTTTCCCAGTGATGGGTTGCGGCTGGAAGGGTATCTGCTGGGTAAAACATATGCTGAATAAGTTGGCGGTTCATTCCACTTTGGCAACCCCAGATTAATAAAAGGACTCAGCCGAAAAGAAAATGAAAAAATGAATGAGAAAGAGTTTCTGTATGGGTGTGAAATTGGAGAATAACGGATAGGCCTATATGAGGTATCCCTTTTAATGGCTTATGTTAAGGTTAACTTATGACAGGTGAGAATGGGTTGATTTGTGTTATTATACTGTATGTATTTTAAACTGCTCACTTTTTAATGTTGCCTTAGCTATAATACCCCCCTCTCACTCAAGACAATAATCAAATTAAATTTCATATACCCAATCAAAACATATTTGTAAAACTTCAACAAGTACTGAAAAACAGGAGTAGCCAGCCTCCTAAAGGGGGTCCTTCTTTTTTTCTCAAAAAGTGAACCTTTTTGGAGTTATTTACCTCATTTTCTAATAAATTATGAGGTTCAAACACTGCATTTTGACATTTTAAGCACTAATTTTTGCTGGATTATATTGTCATAATCATTATAATTTTTGATGTAAAAAAAAAAATTCCTACATTTTTGTCAGTGTTTACCATACTATTATGCTTACAACTGTGCATTAAACAGTAAATTATTACAGTTATATAAATTATGTAATGAAATTAGAATTATTATTTTATATTTATTTTAAATACTCATTTAATATCATCCATTATAAAAAAAGTAAACAAACAAACAAACAAACAAAACAATTAGGAATCTGTTAATCTGTTAATGTGCATTAATATTGTATGATATAATATTTGACATTGCATTAAAATAGACAGGGTGGTGTTGAGAACTAGTTTTATATATATAATAAAAAATGTGTAACCTATAGGCAAATAACAAACTGGTCAGCACGTTTGCTCAATCAGAATGTGTCCATTTAAATAATAATAATTCAATTTGTCTTAAAGTCTTCTATTAGTTATTTTCACAGTTTATGATTGCATACTGTTAAAAATGAGCTCATATAAGGGTCAAATTCTGGACTTTTTCAGCAGGGGCTGGGTCTTTTGAACCACCCCAACCCCCCTGGCCACGGGCCTATCAGGTAAAGTAGGCGCTGCCCTCTATTGGGCATTTTGTAAAAGTACATGGATGGAGATGATGGATGATGTGGTGGAATATTTCATAAATCATTTGATTGCTCCTTTTTAAATACACCTCTCACTGGATATAAACATGTCACTGGCGTATGTCATATGACGCATTTGTTTATAACGCTCTCCACCGGCATTACAGTGACTGACTGTCTCTGTATAAAGGTCAGGCTCTGATTATAGAAATAAGAGATTGAGAATTCCCTGAGCCAATATATCGGCTTATAGAATGACAGAAAAAAAGGAACAGTCATAAATCTGGACAGACTGTTTTTATTTTACATATTTTTCTCATGGTGAAAGAACGAACGTGAGATTTAGAGCCATACTTTTTCTCTCAATCATCAGGGAGTCTGCAATGCCAAAACTGTAGTATAAGTAGAAAAATTCCTGGAAGCAAATTTCCTCAAACTGAATGTAATAATGCAAGAAATAAAAATAAAAAAACAGACAAAGTAAAGATAATTCAGATAAACAAATACATACTTCTGTTGTTGGTAGCTGAATGCAACCGAATTCTACAGCTTTTCTGCATTTTCAGTTTGTCAGTGTCATAAAGGAAACTTATGAAAAAGACCTGTTTATATCCCAGAGGTATGAGAGGCCATCAGCTGATTTATGAAAGCTTACCCCACTGCCAAAATCCACTCTCACCTCACAGTAGGGGTCAGGTCTGTATCTCAAAACTTGCAGGAGCAAATCAACTGTCTGTCTGCAGTTTTCACCTCTGCCAAATACGTGGTCCACTACATAAGACATTTATCATCTGGCCTAGTTATGTTCAAACTTGCAGTGAATGCATGCTGGGCCGATTTAATGCATCTGATTCAGCAATGAATATGTGTTGAAAAGAGTGGCAAGATGCTGCTGTAAAAGTACAGACTTGTCATGTAGTAATAAATCTGTACAATGCTTTTTAAAAGTGGAACACAAAAGAGATATTTTTTATACAGAATGATCTAAATGGTGACTTTGGGTACATCTAAAAGTTACTGTACTTATAAAACCTAGGTTTGCATCTGATAAATGCTTTACTATCCCATGAGGCCACAGGATTTACAGTATGAATGGCAGTGAAAAGATTTAATGCTGCTAGGTCATGTCATGTGGCAGTAGTAGTATGGTTGGATGTATACATTTACTAGCTATATACACTTACTGGCAATAGGAAAGGCAACAGTAACTCAAATAACTTGTTACAACCGAGGTATGCAGAAGAGCATCTCTGAATGCACAACACATCTTACCTTGAGGCACATGGGCTACAGCAGCAGAAAACCACACCAGGTGCCACTCCTGTCAGCTGAGAACAGGAAACTGAGGCTACAATTCACTCAGGCTCACCAAAATTGGACAATAGAAGACTGGAAAAACGTTGCCTGGTCTGATGAGTCTTGATTTCTGCTGCAACATTCGGATGGTAGGGATCAGAATTTGGCATCAACAACATGAATCGATCCATCCTGCCTTGTATCAGCAGTTCAGGCTAGTGGTGGTGGTGAAATTGTGTGGGGAAAATTTTCTTGGCACACTTTGAGCCCATTAGTACCTACTGAGTATTGTGCCAGCCTACCTGACTATTGTTGCTGACCATGTCCATTCCTTTATGACCACAGTGTACCCATCTTCTGGTGGCTACTTCCAGCAGTATAACACACCATGTCATAAAACGCGAATCATCTCAAACTGGCTTCTTGAACATGACAATGAGTTCACACTGTAATCAAATGGCCTCAACTGGTCTCAGTTCAAGAGCACCTTTAGGATGTGGTGGCAAGAGAGAATCGCATCATGGATGTACAGCTGACAAAACTGCAGCAACTGCATGATGCTATAATGTCAACATGAACCAAAATCTCTGAGGAATATTTCCAGTACCTTGTTGAATCAATGCCATGAACGATTGGGGGCAATTCTGAAGGCAAAAGGGGTTCCAACCTTGTACTAGTAAGGTGTACCTAATAAAGTGGCCGGTGAGTGAATATTTTTGGTGATTGCAAACTAATTACTCATTAATTAATCAAGTTCTAAAATGAATAAAAAGTGCTGAAAGCATCATAAAGCTGACCCATATGCTCTGAAATCATATCAATCTTTGTATGATAAAATAAAATGTGTTTATTTTTTTAAATATATTTAAATGTGCACAAATGTGTGTACGGTATGTTACCGGGACTAATAAGGTTCGGTACATTTTTATGGCCATATCCACTGGGATAGTCCATCCCCTAAAATAAAACCCATGGCTTGGAAGTATATATTACAAAATGTTGGAAATCGGTAACCACTGACTTATGTAGTAATTGTTTTTCAATGGTTACAGGTTCCAAACATTCTTCAATATACAGTACTGTAACTTCTTTTGTGTTCAACAGAACAAAAATTCCGAACTTGTTTGAACAAGTTAAGGTTGAGAAAACTACTTCCAGCAAGATAATGCACCATGAATTATCTCAGACTGGTTTCTTGAACATGACAATGAGTTTACTATACTCAAATGGCCTCCACAGTCACCATATCTCAATCCAATAGAGCACCTTTGGGATGTGGTGGAATAGGAGATTTGAATCATGGATGTGCAGCTGACAAATCTGTAACAACTGCGTGATGCTATCATGTCAATATGGACCAAAATCTCTGAGGAATATTTCCAGCACCTTGTTGAATTTATGCCACAAAGAATTAAGGCAGTTCTGTACATGTACTAGTACAATGTACCTAATAAAGTGTCTGGTGAGTGTACATTAAGCTATAGAAATGTATAATTAGGATAACACTGACAAACAGTCAGATAAGAAAAATAATAATGTTTTACAAAATCTTAATTATGAACTAAAAATGTTAAATGTTATATTTAGTCATAATTATACATTTAAAAAAAAATTTAAATCTATGGTGCCCATACATCTTTTTATTTCTAAAACCATTCTTGTGTCACTGTCTTTGATGACCTTTCTTAAACTCAAAGCTTGACAAGTACTTTAGCAGACAACATTCCTTCACTCCCACCAACAGGAGTCAAGGAGGCCATTTATTTGATAAAACTGTGGCATGTTGAACAATCTGAGTCAGATTTATCCAGCCAGATTTATTCATTGCTCAAATAGACC